GTGTTGCTGTTGTGTGCTGTCAAGCTGGAGCCCACTCACAGCTGACCCTGTAGCAAGTTTTCAGAGACAATATATTGCACCAGGAAAGAGTGCCCATTCTTCTCCATCAGAGCAGCTGGTGGAGGTGAACCATGTGTTTCTTATGGTTGTTATCATGGCAGTTTATTAGTCATCTTTAATGATTGTATTGTGGTTGTTAGTTGCTGTCAAGATAATTCCTGTTTCATGACAATTCCATGCACAATAGGATTGGACCATTGTGAATCTTAAAAGTTTTCAAAACTGCTTTTTGAAAGTAAATTGCAAGCCCTTCTTTCTACTGTGTCAGTCTGGAAGCTTTGCTGAAACTTGTTCAGCGTCATAGGGACATTCATATCTCCCCTGACAGACAAATGGTAGCTGCAAATGAACTGCATTCACTGGGGATGGAGCCCAGGTTTCCCACTTGGAAGATCAGAGTATTGTTGCTGAAACACAGCTTCCCTCCAATACTGTTATTATTTTTTAGTGACTAGATGCTTTTACCTTTTTTTTTTAATATGGCCAATTTTGATAAAGAGACCAGAGATATTACGTATTACAATATTCCTTAATGCATTCCTCATACAGTTTTCTTTTCTCTCCCTTTACTATAAGTTAACTTCCCTGTTTTCTTTGGTAAGCTTTGTGGAAGTAACATATACAGAATCTTGGGCTCTTTTCATACTTTCTTTCCCCTCTTCCTTGGTTCTTGAAACCCCTGTGCACTGACAGAACAACCCATCTCTCAGAGTGAATCTCACAGATCTTGATCTTTGGTGTGTGTGTCTCTCTCTCTCATATCCCTTTTTCTGAGAAGTTTTATCACTTTTTTTTAAAAAAATACTGGTTTATTTTACAAAGTTCATATACTTTTTCCCATTTGATCTTTTCCATTTCCCTCAAGCCCCCCCCCATCAAATTGTGCGATCCTATGGTTAACCACTGTCCTCCCCATCCTCATCCCTCTGCCCCTCCCCCACTTGGATCCTCAAACTCATTCTACAATAATGGTTTTATACAGTATTTGTCCATATGGGACTGAGTTAATTCACGTATCATAATGCCCCCAGTCCCTCCCAAGTTAGTAATTTACAAAGTCATTGTTTCCATATGCTGCATAGTATTCCATTGTGTGAATGTACCATAATTTTTCAATCTATTTTATTGTGGTTGGATATTTGGGCTTTTTTCATGTTCTTGCAATGGTAAATAATGCTGCTATGAACATTGGTGTATGAGTCTCCATTTGTGCCTCAGTTCTTATTCTCTCTGGGTATATTCCAAACAGTGGAATAGCTGGATCGTATGGAATTTCTGTGTTCAGCTTTCTGAGGAAACACCAAACTGCCTTCCAGAGTGGTTGTACCATTTTACAATAGTATGTAAGAGTACCTATCTCGCCAGATCCTCTCCAACATTTATTACTTGCTCCTGTTAAACTTTGCCACTGCTATTGGAGTGACGTGGTTTCGATTTGCATCTCTTTTCTTGCCAGTGATTTTGAGCATTTCTTCATGTGCCTCTTGGCTATCCGAATATTTTCCTCTGTGAGATCAGGTAAAGTAAGCGACAAGAAAATGAGAAATGCCTTGACCTTAAGCCTTAAAATTGTTGCTGCATTCCCAAATCTGAGATAAATGCTTGAGCTCTGTGACTCAGGTACCACCCTGTTGCCTTCCCGGGCATGCTGTAGTTGATGCCAGTCATTTCTCTCCTTCACTTGGTACTTACTGAGGTGCCTTTTACCACCTTGCCACTCCCTCCCCCCACAACATCCAAGTCTTTTTCAATTTCTGCCATAGGAACCCCTCTTTTTCCAGTGTGATACAGTAAGCATTAAATAATTAAGAAACAGGGCCATAAAACACTTTAAAGGACAAATGTAAAGTGGTATTATTTGCTTCTTTTTCACCTTTACTGGTTATTTACTCTGAGAGGGCGTCTGTGTCTGAATCACTAACTAATTATAAGAGTCTTTGTGTATGTATGGAGTGAGGTGTGGGTCTTGCTTGAGTCTTTTGCAGATATTTTTCGAATTTTGCCAACACCATTTGTTAAAAAGGCTGTCGTTCCCCCACTTCACTGATTTCATCTCCTTGTCAAAGATCAGTTGACCATA